CCCAATATTGTCGGAGACACGAATTGCTTATAATTAACATATTATTTGTGTTTATAATGTAAACCAAGAACATGGACATTAGACGAAACAGAAAACAAACTTGAGAATTGAAGAATACTCTTTCATTTCAATGTTATTCTGTTTTCATTATAATGTAGAAGACTTCGAAAATTATAAATTTTTCACCTGGCTTGGGTAGCTTCATCCTTGTTATACATGTTGAAGTCGACCACACAAGAATTATTAGCCCTATTATGAATGCAACTAGTCCTACTATAATCCCAGCAAGCCTGTTTCGATTTAGGTCCCTCTTATTCTTTCTTTGATCTGAGAGGAATGAAATTAATGTCAATCAACAAGTAGCTCTAAGCTTACAATTCATGGAAAAGAGAAAAAGTAGAAAGGCATTATGCAGTACAGCTTCAACTAGGAAGCTGATTTGCAATCGCTTGTTCCAACTTCTGACACATGACCATTGGTATAGTGCTTGATGGTAAGCAGAATCTAGTATTGTTATAATTTCATCCAGTGAGTTGTTTAACAGAATTTACAAATTTTATGGAATGCAATAAAGTTATCATTCTGTTGTTAACTTAATGTATAATGGAATGGACCAGAAACAAAAACGAGATTAAAAGATAGTAACATTTTTAGTCCAAACATCTTTCGGGGAAGAGAAAGAAAGGTTTTGGATGCATGGAATAGAAGGCATTTTTTATGGAATCTAGTAATATTCTGTTTCATTCCTTTCTTTTCTAATAATCCCAACATAACATAAATTGTATTTCTACTAAATCTGACAGAAAAGGCTTAAGATGGAATTGGAAAAGAAAATACCAAGTTCAGAGAATGGAAGTCGTATATAAATTTCTTGTCCTCGATCAGTGTGAGTTCTCATGTCCACAATGTCATGAAACCAAAGCAAGCATCCACGCCCACCATCTCTAATATCTGAATTTGCGTATGCAGTACAGGAGCAGTCTTTCAAACACAATGCCTCACATTCCTCAAGGCTGAAGCTCCTGTCAAACCAGGAAGAAGAAGTTTCTGGCAACTTCATTCCTGAGTAGTTCTTAAACCAATCTCCATTATCACAATTTAATTCTGTTCTTCTGACACAGCCATCAGACCAATAATGAGAATCCCACTTTGCTTGAAACTTTGGTGCGAAACCTTGCAAGCATTCACACATTGGAATGTCATTACTATTGCAGATAGAGTTGGCACCACAAGCTGCAAAATATTCACACAAGTCTCTTGGATGAGTGTTTACAATATCCCAAGTCTGTCTTTGATATGACCATAGAGAACGCTCTGTACCCCCTCTTGGATTGAGTTTGAGCATTGTTATAGTGACCGTTGAACTGTTCAATGTTTCATATCCATAAGAAACCCCTTTGTCCGTGAACTCTAAAGAGAAATTCAAGAATCTATGCATTCTGTCCCAAGAAACTCCGCTGAAAAGATAGCCATTCCAAGGCCCTGTGCTGTACACAATTGTTGTTCCGTTTGTAGTAACTTGTTGAGGAAAGCCCTTTGCATCGATCCTATAAGAAAACTCACCTTCAGCTGGATCTTCATAGTCTCTCCAAGACGTGAGATACAGATATGGACCAGTAACAAAATCGCTTTTCAGTTTCATTCCTGCAAGGAAAGTGTCACCAGGGTAATCAAAGCTTTGCCACAAGAGCTTCTCTGAGCTCTCTCCATCTTTCACAACAAGATTTCCTGAATCTAAAAGCTGCACAACTGGTTTCACTGCAATTCTTGATGAGTTGGAGGACCACACCATGCCTCTGGCGCCATCAAGGATCACAAGATTTCCCTGCTGAGTAAGTTTCAGAAGTGCTGTTGAGTTTTGTACTGGGTCATTCCTGTTGGCAACCCACACAATAGTCCTAGGTGATATCTTGTACCATATACCAAAATATCGACTTCTTGAATCTCCAAAATCGAAAAATCCTGCTTCAAAGGTTCCTGCTGAAGAAACAAGGGTCTCATGGTATTGTATGGACTGATTTGGAGTAACAGTAACTGTAACTTGATCAGAGAAAGTGGACATGAAACAAAAGAAAGTGATGTAAATCATTAGCATGATAATTTGTTGTCTCACCATTGTTATTCTGCAGGTTTGTTATTGTTACTAGCATCATGTCCATTCAATGAAATTTTATAATAGATTCAAATTGTTCAGTCTACTCTATGTTTTCAATTCAGTCAAATTTTATATTAGATTCAAACTGTTTGTTAACTCTGTATTTTCTGCTCAGCTTGATATTTTGTCAGAGGACCACACGTTAACTCACTCAAATTTTTCTTTAAGGAAATAGAAGTTTTAGCACTAACATATGAAGACTTGACTTGGTCATTTCCCAAGCCTTCTTTGTAATATCTGGAAACTTTCCCACCCAATTTCTTTGACAACACCATAAGATTGTGTTCCTTTATGTTTTTAAAATTCTTCAATAAATTGGAGTGTCTATGCAGGACAGCGTACGTTGAAGGTGGACATTGTGGATGATGTTATCTCTCATCTTATCTTGATTAGTTTTTATTTTATTTTATTCCATTTTAGAGTATTTTTATTTCAATTATGTTATATTTATGAAATAATTAAGGATATTTAGACAAATGAACCGACCTGAAAATTGATTAGACTAAAAATTTATAACATTAATTAAATTACATTTATTTTAATGTGAGTTAATTATATATGTTAATGCGTTTTATAAAATAATAATGATTTTAAAAATAAAAATAATATTATTTTATTAAAAAATATATGTATTATAAATTAATTTAATAAAAATTTACTTTTAAGAGTAAATATCAAAAAGTAAATTTCTAACTACCCATTATCCTCAATATTTAATTACTATTTTATATTAATAAATTACTATAAAAATTGATATGTTTTTTAATTTTTATACTAAAACTGAAAATTAATTCTCTTATAATTTATATATTAAATAAAGTATAAATTTATTAATATAATTTAAATTTAAAAAATATATTTTTTTATTTTTATTTTTATTTAAATATTTTTAATTAATTATTTTGGTATAAATGTGTTTATAGTTTTTTTTTCAATCTTGTTAAAATAAGCTACCATAGATTATATTAAGTTAAAAATTATGTTCATTTTAATATAAGTTAAGTTAGATTTTTTTTTCATTGTGACAACTCTAAATATAATATAATATAATTCATGATCTCTTCCTAAACATTAACTCCTTTAATAGAGAAAAAAAAGTTGATAATACAATTTATGTTTAAAGTATATTAAATACAAATAAATTATATTATTATTGAAAATACTTTTTAAATAACATGAAATATGCGAATCTCTCATAACATTATTTAATATCTAAAATCGTTTTATCTTTGATTAAGCAATACAACCTAATCTATAGCACATGTATGGTCCAAAACTTTACCTAATAAAAAGAGAGGACGATAGACGAAGATCATAAAATGGTATGGTTTTGATGTGTAATTCAAAAGAGTTGACAAAGAAATGCTGACTTTCTTTTAATAAGACAAAACTATAGGAGAAAAAAAATTATGAAATTTTCTTATTAGTAGTGTTCAAAACCTTGTTTTCTTTTTATTATTTTTTATTTGATTATTATTTTTACTGTTAATTTTTCTATCTGATTTTTTATGAAAAATTAAAAAAAATGTGATTTATTAATTAATCGAACATTTTTTTAATTTTTTTTGTTTTTTTAGAATTATTTTCCTTTTAATATTCAGATCATAAAAATTTTCAAATTTATAAAATATTTTTCTTTTACATATTTTATTGAATGATATTAGAGTTTTTATAGAACATAAAATCAATAATTTCTTTATTAATAACTAAAAATATAATAAAATAATTAAAATTATGTAAAAATTAAATAAAATATTTTATTTATAATAAATACACATTTATTATAAAAAAATTTATCCGAAATTAAAGATACTTTTATTTTTATTTTGAAGTGACCCAAGGCTTATCTTGTAAAACAAAGGAACCATTCTCTTTAGGGCCACCAAATGGTGACCGTGGCACACTTCATGGCCATAAATTAACCCTGCTTTGAGATTGAGTTACCACAATCTTCCTTCCTATTTGAAGCGTTGTTTTGCTTATTGCTCCATATTTCCTAAAGGTTATGAGTTTGATAAGGATAAATTAATCCTATTGTGGATGGCAGAAGGTTTGTTGAATTGTTGCCAAATAAATAAGAGTGAAGAGGAGTTAGGTAATGAGTTCTTCAATGATCTAGTAGCAAAGTCATTTTTCCAACAATCAAGTCATCGAGCTTCGTGGTTCATTATGCATGATCTTCTTAATGATCTAGCAAAATCTATCTCAGGTGATTTTTCATTACAAATAAATGACAATTGGGAGAAAAATGTCAAGAAGAGAACACTCCACATTTCAGGCTCTCACAAATTTAACTTTGATGATAATTTTTTGGAGCATATGAGTAAGTGTAACAAATTACGATGTCTTATCTCACTCAAATGGAAACTCGATAAAAGATGCTTGATGAACAACAGTAAACAACGTGTTCTCTTCTCCACATTGAAATATTTACGTGTGCTATCCTTCAATAATTGTCTTCTCACTGAGTTGGTTGATGATATAAGCAATTTAAAACTCTTACGTTATCTAGACCTTTCATACACTGAGATTAAAAGATTACCAGACTCCATTGGTAGGTTGCATAATTTGCAAACATTATTATTATTCTGGTGTTTTCATTTGACAGAGCTTCCCCTAGATTTGCACAAACTTATCAACTTGCGTCATCTTGATTTGCGTATGAGCGGAATAAATGAGATGCCGAACCACATAGGAAGGTTGAAACATATATCTTCATACCTTGACCAGTTTTTTCATCAATAAGCATGGTGGCTTTAATGTAAAGGAATTAAGGAAACTCAATAATCTTCAAGGAACACTTTCAATTTTCAAGTTTGAAAATGTGACTCATCCTGCGGATGCCATGGAAGCTAATTTGAAAGATAAAAAGCATTTAGATGGATTAGTGTTGAATTGGGGCGACAAATTTGGAAGGTGCAATGAAAATGAGGACTCAATAATAGAAAGAAAAGTGTTGGAGGCTCTTCAACCAAATGAAAATTTAAAAAAGCTTTCTGTTTTACGTTACGATGGAACTAGCTTTCCAAGTTGGTTTGGAGGTTCTCATTTGCTTAATTTAGTGTCCATTGTCTTGACCGAAAGCAAATTCTGCTTTATCTTGCCACCGTTTGGGCAACTTCCCTCGCTGAAGGAGCTTTCCATATCATGCTTTTATGGAATAGAGGTTATTGGTCCTGAGTTTTGTGGTAATGATTCCTCAAATATTCCTTTTAGATCTCTTGAAATTTTGAAATTTGAGGAAATGAGTGCATGGAAAGAATGGTGTAGTTTTCAAGGTCACAGTGGGGAAGATCAATGTTTGTCTTATCTTAAAGAGCTTTGTGTGAAGCGTTGTCCTTTATTGAGAAGGACCCTACCTCCACACCTTCCTTCTCTCCAAAAATTGGTAATTTGTGAATGCCAACACTTGGAGAGTTCAATTCCCAAGGCTACTAGTATTCATGAGATTAAGTTGGGTGGGTGTGAAAAAGTTTTACTAAACAATTTACCTACCAACTTGAAAAAGGTAACAATTCAAGGAACTTGCATCATTCAGTCCTGGCTCCAGCAAATTATTGTTAACAATGTCTTCCTTAAAGTGTTGAAAATACATGACTTTCATGGTCCAAGTCTAAAATGGTTCTCTTTGGATTTGCATAAATATGATTTTCTGGACACTATCTCCGTAACAAGATGGTACTCTTCCTCTTTTCCTTTTGCACTACACTTGTTTTCCAATCTTCATTCTCTACTTTTTCATGATTGTCCACATCTTGAGTCATTTCCTAAGGGAGGTTTGCCTTTGAGCCTGCGAAAACTCGAAATTGAGGAATGCCCTAAGCTGATTGCTTCTAGGGAGGAGTGGGGATTGTTCAAGCTTCATTCTCTCAAAGAGTTTAGTGTTAGTGGTGACTTTGAAAGCGAAGAGTCTTTCCCTGAGGATAGGTTGCTACCACCCTCTCTTACTGTGTTCTACTTGCTTGGATGCTCAAAGTTAACAACCATAAACTATATCGGTTTTCTTCACCTTAAATCTCTCAACTCTTTATATATTTTCAATTGTCCTCGTCTTCAATATTTGCCAGAAACAGCTTTATGCAACTCTCTTTCTATTTTGCATATTCATAATTGTCCTTTACTTCAACAGCGTTACCAACATAATGGAGGGCATTGGCATCAAATTAATCACATCCCTACTGTGATTATTTCTTAGTAGAAGTTAAAATGTAAGACATATTCATCTATATATATAATATAAGTAAATATTTATGTTTCTTGTTTTGGCCATTTCTTTTATATTTTACATAATCTTTAAATTAATTATAAATTCAATAAGTGATATATCTTGATCCTTGTTTTAAATTTTAAACAATAAAGTAAAGTATATAAAGGAATAACTAGGAAAAAATAAGATAAAGTATAAATCTATTTTTATTGTATAAATTTATTTATGATATATTTTTAAAGTTATTATAGAATAAACTATAAGTTAAAATTTTAATATGATGATGTTCTTTTAAAATTATTAGAATGACGGTGGTTTATAACTGGATCACAAATTTTAAAATTTCAAGAAATTTGAAATGCTTGATTTTGAATTATTTTGATTTAAATTCTGAATACTTTTAAAAAAAATATTGTGCAAATAAATTAATTCAAATTTTTAAATTTGGATAAGGTAATAAAACATGTACTCATCACTCTGTAATAAAACAAAATGAATGATACAATTCTTATTCTCTTGTATTTTTTAATATTTTTTCTCTTATTCTTTTTATTTGTTATAATTAGTTTCATCTTTAATCATGAACATTGTACATAATCTTCGATGTCATAATTTTATTAATTTTTTATGTTTTAATCTCCTTCCCATCCAAATTTTACGAGTAAATTGAAAAATAATATATAATAATCGACAAAAATACAAATTAAAATACTATTTTTTTATTTATACTATTACCTAATAAGAATCAATAGGTGAATATTATAGTTAAAATATATATATATAATTGTATAACAATAATATATTTTAAAAAAATGACATATAAAATAATATAAAATTTAAATATTTAATTATATTTTTAATCTTGAGTTTTAAATTTATTTTATTTTAATCTTCTAATTTAAAATTTTTTATTTTAGTTTTTTAAAATAAAAAAAAATCTTTAAACAGTAAATTTTTAAAAAATAAAATGAGTTTTTAAAACTTATTTTTAATTATAAATTTAGTATTTTAGGAATTAAAATTATATTTTATTAAATTTATGAAATTAAAATATATTTTGTTAATTTGAGGAATAAAAATATTTACTCCAGGAGTAAAAGTATAATTAAACTAAATTTAAATATTATAATATTATAATAAACCTTAAAAAAATAAAAAATACCGAAGAAAAGGAAAAGAGAAATGAGAGAGCATTGGTGCCAGATTTCTGTAGCGCGTCCACTCAGTCCTCCACCACACTCAGATCTGCGAGTTTCGCTTTCTGTCGGTGTTCTGTGTGTTGCTGCAAATTGAATGTCAAATCCCCAATTCCCATTTTTCAAGTTCTCAGAATTTCAAATTCCCTGACTCAACGACACTCCAAGCTTCGATGTCTTGTCTAGCGCTATCCTTGCAACCCGCAAATGGATCGGACATCCTTCTTCAGACGCGCGAGTGGTTCCCTCCCTCACGCGCCCTCGGCGCCCTCTCCGCGTTTCGCCAGACTCGCCGCGCCCTCGCCGCCAACAAACACTCCACTCCGGATGACGCCTACGCCGCGGAATCCATCGGCGACGACCCCCTCGCGGCGTCGAGCGGCCAGGTCATCGTCGGCGTGGAGAGCCGCTACCGCGTGGTGTACCGTCTCGTGAACAGCATCTACGTCCTCGGCATCACTGTCGCGGACCACGACAACTCCGTCAACGTGTTCGAGTGCATCCACATCGTCAACCAGGCTGTCAGCGTCGTCGTCACGGCGTGTCGCGGCGTTGATGTCACGCCGGAGAAGCTCAGCCGCAAGTACGCCGAGATCTACATGGCCCTTGACATCGTCCTCCGCGGCGTCAGCAACATCCGCCTCGCTGCCATGCTCACCACCATGCACGGCGAGAGCATTGCCAGGATGGTCCACTCCGCCATCGACACCGAGAACAAGATCCGTGGCGCCGATACGTGGCTCACGGCGGAGGTGCATTCGCTCGAGCACCAGGCCTGCATCGACGCCTTCTCCACCGCCAAGTTCGAGTTGCCGCCGGAGACGCTCGAGGCTGGCGAAGAGGTAGCCGTCAGCCTTGCTCCGGCCCAGCCGGAGCCGCAGGAGGAGCCGCAGCAGAAGCAGGAAGAGTCTCAGGTGGAGGACCCTTTTGCGGCTAGTGATGCAATTAACAAGCCGCAGGAACTTGTTGAAGGATTCAAGAAAACAAAGGACCCTTCTGCTACTGATTTAACCTCAGCTTTGGAGGGGCTTGATGTTACCACATTGCCTCCTCCTGAGGCTACTCAATCCACGCATATAAATGTGGAGGGTTTCGAAGGGAACTACGGTGGAGTTGAGTTTGGGCAAGAGCAAACTTCTATTGGAGAAGCTTTTGAAGGTTTCAACGATGCTTGGGGTGGTGGACTTGATCCCTCCGAGTTTGTGGGCACAACCAAGCCTCCCAAACCGCAAGGGCTTGGTGGGGTTGAATTGTTGCAAACCGGGCCTGATGCTGCTCCTAAAGCAGCTGCTGAAAGTGGTGCAGGAACACCACTTGAGAACTTGTTGGTGAAGAAAATTGAGATGAAGGGTCCTGAGATGTATATCTCGGAGGTGATTAGCGCAGAGTTTAGGGAATCGCTGCTTGCAAGAGTGGGATTAATGGGTATTGTTTACCTCAAAACTTTGCCACCCAAAACTGCTGGTGATAAGGAAACTGAATTCTCATTCCGAATTGAGGGAACCAGTGCTGTTAAGAGATTTGTTATTCAGAGTTCGCGCGTTAGTAGCCTTGGTAATGGACTGTTTCATGTGAGGACTGCGGCCTCTGAGGAGCCAATACCGGTTATAAAGTATAGCTTGGTTCCTAGGTTGACGCCTTTGCCTTTGAGGGTTCGACTTACAAAACGGCATACTGGCAGTTTGCTTTCTGTGATGATTCAATATGCTTCAAACCCTGATTTGTTAGTTCCTTTGCATGATGTTACGTTCTCTCTAAAACTGCCTGTTGATCCGACTCTGTTGAAGGTTTCGCCAAAAGCCGTGTTAAATAGGACTGAAAGAGAAATTAAATGGCTTGTTCCAGAGATTCCGTTGAAGGGCTCTCCTGGCAGGTTGAGAGTTCGGATGCCGGTAGATTCTAGTGAAGATGACGAAGAAATTGAGGTTGTTGGTTATGTGAAATTTTCTGAACAAGTAACTCAGTCATTGTCTGGAGTTTCTATACGGCCTGCATCAGAGGGTAAGACAGATTTCTACGAGGTTAGTGACAGACTTGAGAGTGGGGTATACATCTGCGGTTGATTTTGTAATCATAGATGATAAGCGGAGCTGTACTTTTTCATTTTGTGTTCATGAGATTTATGGTTTGGTTATGTTTATATCATTCTTGGATATCGATCATGTACCTTGAACTCTAGAATTATCTGAAAATCTTTGTTTCTCTGTATTATGGCTATGAATTTACATCAATGGACTGTATTTCATCTTTGCAATAATTACTAGGAAGTACTTACTAGTTGTTACTTGCTAGTATTACCCCGTGCTCATTTTAAAATTTCATTGATTAATGCACAAATTAATACTATAATATTTAGATTGGATAAAAAAAATGTTTTAAAACTTTTTATTCTATGTATCACTCTAGATGAACAATAAGCAATAATTTTCTAAAACTTGCTAATTCCTTCTGGAAAATTAAAAATCACTAGGAATCAAAGTTATCAACTGTGGATAGCAGCCTATGACGGTGAATAGGGGTGTAAATGAGCCGAGTTAAGCTCTTGAAGCAGGACTTAGCTTGTAAAAGAAGTCATGAATCAAGCTTAACTCATTTATTGAACCTGCCTAATTAAAAGATTGAGCTTGGCTTGTTAAAAGTATATTAAGCTTGAACTTGACTTGTTTAGCTATTATAACTTGACATAGTTATAAGAATATGTATAAATTTTTTTCTCAGAAAAATAATTCATATTTAATAAAAGAAGCTAATGTTTGCACAAATGCAGCTCAACATTAGCTACTAGACCTGATCACTTAAGCAAACGGATTAATGTTTCAATAAAACATATACTACAGTACGCTCCATCCTAAACTCTATTAGTATATAAACGAGCAACTCATCAGCACTTAAAGTCAATAGTTTAAAGCTTGGGGCTCAGCTCATTTAGATAATCAAGTCTAGTATAAAGGTTGGGTATATTTGTTTAACTTAACAAACAAGCTTAAATAAGTAATTAAGAAGCCAAGCCCAAATAGCTCACAAATAGCTTGATTCATTTATAAATTATTCTCCTAGTGGTGAGCCAAAAAACTACCATATATACATGGTGGATGGCATGATGGCCTATGGTGGAAGCTGTGGCAGGTAATAAAAAATGTACAAAAACTGAAAAATAAACAGCAAATGGTTTGAAGTTAGGTAAGGAAGAACCTATAGTAAAAGGATTAATCTAATGGTTTGAAAGTTATGATACAGTTAAGATACACCATGGACAACCTATTAAGGTGGTAAATATGTCTTACATGCTCTCTTTAGAGACAAGCTCATTTAACATACTCTTGCCCATTAAATTTGTTAGATACTACAGTTTTAATTTTTTTTATTGAATATATAATGTGAAATTGTGGCAACACGGAAGCTAACAATTCAATTCAGACTCTAGAGGTCCTCATGTCATGAGGATTGAAATCTAAAAGTAAAACATTTTTTCCCTTTCATTTACTTTTATAACGCGCTGCAGACAAATTAATGTTGTGCTTTTTAATCTTTCTTTGTTTGTATTTGTTGAATATAGAGGAAATAGGGTTTGAGATTAATCTCTCTTGTGTATAAACCACGCATAAGATAATCTATTTATAATAGAGAGAGGTACAACTAAAAGAGTAACCGAAAATAAATAAAATAAACAGAAGATATTGTTTGATATTGTGGTTAACAATATCTTAATAATATCAAACAATATCTAAACAATATCTAACACTTCACCTCAAGCTGGAGCATACAAATAGTATGTGTCAAGCTTGTTACAAATATAATCAATTGTAAGTCCCTGTAAAGACTTAGTAAAAATATCTGCTAACTGATCACTAGAGTTAACAAACTCAGTCTTGATGTCTCTAGATATAATCTTTTCTCAAATGAAATGACAGTCAATCTCAATGTGTTTGGTCCTCTCATGAAAGACAGGATTAGAGCTAATATGAAGAGCATTATACTCTTCTAGTAGATCAATCTTGTAAGCATTATCATTGATCTTCTCTAAGACTTGGAATGACCCATCTCCTCTAGGTGCATTATCATTGATCTTCTCTAAGACTTGGAATGACCCATCTCCTCTAGGTGCATTATCATTGATCTTCTTTAAGACTTGGAATGACCCATCTTCTCTAGGTGCATTATCATTGATCTTCTCTAAGACTTGAAATGACCCATCTCCTCTAGGTTGAAGTTTAGACTTTCTTTGTCCAGGAAACCTATCCTTTCTCATGTGTACCCAAACCCAATCACCTGGTTGGAACACCATCTTTTTCCTACCCTTGTTAGCTTGCCTTGCATAACTCTCATTCTTCTTGTTAGATTGTCACACACAAGTGTCATTTGAGTGACATCTCTAAATTGTAACTCTCTAAGCAATTGCTTGAGCCAAATAAGTTCACAAACAGCTAAGGTCATATGCTCTATATTCTGCTTCTGCACTGGATCTTGCCACAACACATTGTTTCTTCTATCCGAAAGAGATCCTGTCCAATTAGCATCTGAGTAGCAAACAACTCTTGTATGGTTATTAGAACCATATAACAATATTTTTCAAGGAGATCCTTTAGTATACTTCAAGATACGAATGACTGCATTCCAATAATCTTCACATGGGGAATTAAGAAATTGACTTATCACACTGACTGCAAAGGAAATGTCAGGACGGGTAACTGTAAGATAATTCAATTTTCCAACCAATTTTCTATACTACTCAGGATCAGATATAGACTCCCCCTGATTTAGTAGAAGTTTAGTATTGGGATCCATGGGTGTATCAACAGACTTTGAACTCATCAACCCAGTTTCTTCCAAAATATCCATGACATACTTCCTCTGAGATATAACAATACCATCATTGGACTGTGTCACCTCAATACCCAAGAAATATCTAAGTTTGCCAAGATCTTTAGTCTGAAAATGGTGACAGAGATGTTTCAACTGAGAGATGTCATGGTTATCACTACATGTAAGAACGATGTCATCAACATATACTATCAAGTAAACATATCCAGCACTCGACTGTTGATAAAAAACAGAATGATATGCTTCACACCGATTCATACCAAATTGTTGAACAACCTTGCTAAACTTTCCAAACCAGGCCCTAGGAGATTGTTTTAGGCCATATAGGGATTTGCGAAGACGACATACCATCCCAGAAGACTCCTCCTGAGCAACAAACCTAGGAGGTTGCTCCATATAGATTTCTTTTTGCAAATCACCATTGAGAAAAATATTTTTAACATCTAGTTGATAAAAAGACCATTGTTGAAGAGTGGTCATGGCGATAAATAAACGAATAGAAGCCATCTTTGTCACGGGGGAAAAGGTATCTCCATAATCCAACCCAAAAATTTGAGTATAACCTTTGGCCACAAGACAAGCTTTGAGATGATCAATAGTACCATTAGGTCCAACTTTGATAGCAAACACCCACCTGCAACCAACAACAAATTTTCCAGACGGTAACGGGACCAATTCCCAAGTTCCACTATTATGAAGAGCACTTAGTTTATCTAACATGGCCTGACGCCAACCAGGATGAGCTAAAACTTCACGGACAGTTTTTGGAATTGTCACAGAAGAAATAGAGAAAAGACATGTATAAAAAGGTAATGACAGTCAATGATAACTCAAAGTAATATAATGGGAGAGGGATTACGTGTAGAACGGATACCTTTTCAGAGGGCAATGGGAATGTCAGACTAAGATGTCAGATCCGGAGGAGACAGAGTAGTTGAGACTTGAGTGGAGTCACATGGTGATGGTTGTGATTGGTTTCTGCAATTATAAACCTGAAGAGGCGGTAGAGAAGAAGCTGACTGCGGAGCAGGAACTAATGGTGAAGAAGACACAGTTAGAGGGTCACAAACAACAGGAACATTAAATGTACTAGGAGTGTTGACAGGATTGGATGGAGATAGAGGTGAAGATTGACTTTTAAAATAAAGAGAGAACTCATCAAAGGTGACATCTATAGACACAAAATAACGGTTAAGAAAAAGAGAAAAACATTTGTATCCTTTTTATGATCTTGTAAACCCTAAGAAAACACATTTATGTGATCTAGGAGAAAGCTTATCAAGACTAGAACTGAAATTATGAACAAAACATGTAGACCCGAAAACTCTTAGAGGTAAGGAATGAAGTGGTTCATGAGGGAATAAAATGGGATGAGGTATTTTATTATCTAAAACCGAATAAGACATGCGATTAACGAGATAACATGCAGTAAGAAGAGCATCACCCAAAAAATGTTGAGGAACCTTTCTATGAATTAAAAGAATGCGAGTTGTTTTAATAAGATGTCTATTTTTATGTTCTGCTACACCATTTTGTTGAGGTATATATGCACAAAAAGTTTGATGCAAAATACAGTGAGAAGCCATGAATTGTTTAAAAGAATAAGAAAGATATTCACGGTCATTATCACTGCGCAAAACTCTAATAAAAACACTGAACTGAGTTTGAATTTCATTAAAAAAAGTTTGAAAGATATGAGATAATTCAGAATGATTTTTCATCAAAAATAACCAAGTGCATCTGAAATAATCATCAATGAAAGTAACAAAGTATTGAAAACTTAAAATAGGCTTAACACGGTTAAGTTCCAAATGTCAGAGTGAACCACGATAAAAGGGGACGAAGCACAACATGTGACATTACGAGAAAAGGAAGTACGATTATGCTTGTCTAATTGACACGACTCACATGCCAAACTAGACAAGTTGGACAAGACAGGGACAAACTTCTGTAACTTGGCAAAACTTGGATGACTTAAATGAGCATGAAGAAGAGAGGGAGACTCCATAATTGCACCAACATGTGTAGAGGGACGGAGATGATAAAGATCATGAGACTTACATCTTGTGCTAATCACCTGTTTCAAACTCCGGTCGTGTAAACCCACAAAATTGTTGGTAAAAGAAACAATACAATCAAGAGAACGAGTTAGACGACTGATGGACAACAGGTTAAAAGGAGACCTAGGGATATAAAGAACATTATCAATGGTTAAAGAAATGAAAAGTTTAACAGTTCCAACACCATGAGATGATACTTTAGAGTCATCAGCCAGTGTAGTAGAAGGTAAAGGATTAGGAAAGGATAAAGAAGTGAACAAAAATTTGTTACCAGTAATATGATTAGTGGCTCCTGAATAAAAAATTCAAGGACCAAGAGAAGAGAATTGGGTCAGATCAGCAAAATATATATCTGTGTGTGCGACAAATGTAGTGGAACTAGAAGACTGTTGATCCTTATACCATTTGAGAAATTTGTTGAACATAGTAGATATGTTAGATGCAACAGAAGAAGGATGATCTCTAGTAGACAAAGGTGGGGAAAGATCGGTCTGAACAACTGCAGTAGATCGAGGAGGACGACCATGTAATGCATAACACTTGTTAATCTTGTGACCTAGCTTGTCACAATGTTCACACTTAGGATGCCATTTTCCCTGTTTGCGAGGGCAAGTCCGATCATCACGGTGAAATGCTAACGCAGAAGAATCATTATCAGAATTAGAAGTAGTAGAAGGAGTGGAAGAAGTCATGAAGGGTGGGAGAACAAACCCTAAAAAAAAATCCGAAGTAATCCAATCAACCCACGAAGCATAAATCCAAAACAAGAAGACCAAAACAAGTCCGTCGAGACTAAACGGTGCAGAAGACAACGGACGACCAATTCCGATAATGGTGATATCAATGGCACGATGGTCGCCTGACCAAGATGAGCAAAATTGTATGTTGCCGGTCAAAAATGAAACTCCGGCGGTGGCGGTGACGACGACGTGAACCAGTACACCAGGTAAGTTCCCAAGAAAGAGAGGTGGGTCACTAATGGACACTCTTCCTAGACATGCACTTTCATACTACCAAATAATATCCAGTAACAAAAATAACTCTTTTCTGATGAGGAAGATCAGTTTAATCGGCAGTGGCGGCTCTAGTAGTGGACAAAGGTGAAAAAATTTCAAAATAACCTTAAGCTCTAGATACCATGTTGAATATAGAGGAAATAGGGTTTGAGATTAATCTCCCTTGTATATAAACTACACATAGGGTAATCTATTTATAATTGAGAGATGTACAACTAAAAGAGTAACCGAAAGTAAACAGAATAAACAGAAGATATTGTTTGATATTGTGGTTAACAATATCTAACAATATCAAACAATATCTAACAGAATTCATATATATGGTGGAAATATAAAGATTTGTCAATAGCATCCTATAGATGTGTAGTGGCCCTGGCCTCCATATGTGTTGGGTCTTTTAAGGGGGATTCACAAGGGAGAAACATAACAGTGAGATCTAAGTTCAACCCACATAAGGATTGACACTACTCTCAACCCAAAACTTTAGTGAATGGTGGTACATGGAAGGGTCACTAGTGTGATACCACTTGTTAAGTCTTTTAAGGGGATTCACAAGGAAGAAACACACCAGTGAATGGTGGTACATGGAAGGGTCACTAGTGTGATACCACTTGTTAAGTCTTTTAAGGGGATTCACAGGGAAGAAACACACCAATGAGACAGAAGTCTAACCCACATAAGGATTGATACCACTCTCAACCCAAAACTTTAAGGCATTGGGTTATGGGTCATACTTCCTTATATGTTGCTCAACTTTTTCATTCTTACACAATATGGAACTTAAAATCACACTTGAATTACTTAACAATTTACACTGCTTTAGTGTTATACTTCCCTGTATCAGCCAAAATAACAGCATTTCAAAGTTCAAAATCCCGAGAATGGCCTTCTATGTTAATGACTTGAGGGCATTTTATGCAGGTAAATTTTTTATTTTTTTTGCAGTAATAAAATGGTTTCAGATTGTAGAAAAATGTTTATTACTATACCTCACTTGTCTGCACTTCTACCTTGAGACTGTTGCACAAACCCAGTGCAACTCTCTGCCAGCAGGTGTGACCCTCTGATGACTCTCTCTCTCAGGCAACCCATGTAGCAGCTGGCCAGCTTCTTTTTCATCCATGTCTCATTCTGTTTTTTTTTTCAGTTATTCTTGTAAACTAGTTCTCTTATTCTCATCAGTCTTTTTTGTGTATTTTTTTTTTCTCTCTTCTTCTATATTTATTTTCTGTTTTCTTTTCTTCTTGTTGTTCCTTCAGTCTGTTTTCTGTTTATTGTTTCCTATGTTCCATCAGTCCGCTCTCTGGTTATTGTTCCCTTTGTCCATCAGTCTGTTCTCTGTTCATTGTTTTCTATGTTCCATCAGTCCGTTCTCTGGTTATTGTTCTCTTTGTTCCATCAGTCTGTTATCTGCATATTGTTCTCTATGTTCCATCAGTCTTTTCACTGTTTATTGTTCTCTTTGTTCCATAAGTCTGTTCACTGTTTATTTTTCTCGTTGCTCCAGAAGTCTGTTCTCTGTTTATTGTTCTTTGTTCCATTAGTTCTTTGGCCATCTATATCTCAAAGACCCAAATTTCGTCCACTCTTTGCTCTATCTCTATGGTTAGTTAGTCTTGGCATCCTTTGTTAATATTTACTTGTCCGTTTGCTTATGAGCTAAGACCATTAACTGTTTATTGTTAATTATGAACATGTAATAATTTGAGTATTTTTATTTTAAATTTTTGAGCATTTATATGCATTTACTCTGTTCCGTATGAAATATATAAACTGTACACAATTTCAAAATAGCTATCTTCATGCCATAAAATTTTCTGGTATTACTCGCTAGCTTCCACTATCCAGGATTGATTACTATACCTGAAGAACTTTTTCAAGGATCGTGGTGATGGACCTAGGCTGCTTCACTTTTGAAGTATTATATATGCATGGTTAGTTCGAATTACATACTACTAAGAACTTACGCATTTTCTTTGGCCCCTCCCTTTGGTGTTTGAAAATGTCAACCTGAGTTGGAACAAGCCCTTTTCCCATGTTTGTGAAATATAAAGGCAGTACAATTACGCAATGATTAAGCTATTATTCTAATATGCCTGTGATTTATACTTTCTGAGTCATAAGGCATTTCTACTTAACATTGTTTTATGAGAAACTACTACAAAATAAGGGTCTTAGTAGTCCCAAAGAACGGATATACCCCAGGAGCTCTTCAAAATGTGGCTGGATGAGCGCTACAGTGGAGGTGTTATTTCAGATTGCGCAGATCATTCGATTAAATGAGGTTACATTCTTTTATGGCTGTAATATATACTGAGTTGCAGTTACTCATGATCAATCTAAGGACATACTAGAGTTAAGGGATTGTGGTAGACTTGGGATTTCCCACGCATCTTTATGAAATAAGCTTATCTTTTAGATCAATTTAACAAGGAAAATTTGAAATAAATTATACCATGATCTTTTCTTGTCTTTTTCTATTTCCCTTTTCATTTTTAGAACATTATTAACAAGTCATGAATTAACTGATTTAATGAGTTGCAGCTGGAACTTTATTTTGCTGAAGATGTATGCACGTCAATGGAATTTTACAGTCCCAGGAATGAGTTGGAGGCTCTCAATTCAATTGTTTTGCTTATTGACAAGTCACTTTGTACTTGTACACATCTCCATACGAACATCCTTCAAAGTTACGCCAAACAATTCTTGATTTAATTTCTGATTTGGGGGACAAAAACAGTGTGAAGGGAGTAGTTGAAAAAGACCACAGTTGTGACCAAGAAGAACGCCTGATAGAATGGTGTTTTCCAAAGGATGATGGATTAAGCTTTCCTTTAACACATATAAAGCAAACCCGCCCTTCCTCTCCCCTAAATCTACTCAGATATTGAAGGAGCTGGTCGAGGTGCAATAGCAAGGAATGATCTAAAATTTTTATCTCCTGCATTGTAAAATAAGGTCATTTAGGATGCTAGTTAACGTGACCATCCTATAATGGAAGCACACTCTCTGTTGGAAAGACTGATAATATAGTTGGACTCCGATCCCTCTTATTTGATAAGGATATGTCCATTTATTATAGGTATCACTTTTTGCCTAAAACTAAATAGAAAGGGGGAAATTTCGTATGTTCACCACTCCATCACGTTTTTAATAACTGATAATTGTCTTTATCCAACCCAGTACGTTGTCTTAAAAAGAAATTGAAGGCATATCATCTGAGACAATGTTGTTATTATGGAGTATGAAAGAAAAGTACAACAGTGATTCAAAATTTATTGACACACTCCCAGAAAAATTAAGTACATGTAATCTTGCTTTACTATGCATTGTTTCCATAGGGTATTCGGTTTTGTCAAATTTTAATCTTCATGCTTTAGTACGAGTTCTACAAGGAAAGATAAAAAAAAGGGGACATGTGATGTGGCATACGTCTGTTTAAGGTACCCAATGGAGTTGAACTATATAAACTGATAATAATTACATCTATTACAATTATCCTAATTACAGTAACTATTACACATCTAGACATTATTTGCATGTTTTCCAACAACTTCTCAAAGTAGAGGTATATGTCATATGCTCCAAGCTTGTTACATATCTACTTATTTAAGGACCATTTACTCACTAGTCATTAGAATTAATGAAGTGAATGGTGTTGTGACTAGAGTCTGGATAAGAAATTCTCTATTGAAAAGGCAATTTATCTCATATTTTTGGTTCTCTCAGGTAACATTGGATTCTGGGTTATATTTAGCATGCGTGATTAGCACAAATGAGTGTCATCTGCATAGACACCTCAAATCTGAGATCTTGAAGTTGTTGTTTGCATTGACTAAGTTCATATGTAACTAATCCAGAGATTGATATTTTGCTTTAGCACTTGACCTTATGATGACATTTTGAATCATAAATGATACAAATTAAAAATAACTTCAAATATATATTCTATAAATGATATGTAGTGTTCAATTCAATATAGCAGTTTTAAATTTGAATTATATAAAAACAACATATCCGTAAGTCTCAAAATGAAATTATTAGTAATATATGAGTTTTTGAAGCCTCCTTTAAATAATGGAAATGAACCAGAGAAATAGCCTCTAATAAAGTGCACGTATTATATGAGTGGGTGATAAATTAAAGAGTGGAATGATCAAATAAAAAGTGAGAAGTGCTCCTTCAATTCCTTTTCATCTAGCAATTTAAGCTTATATGAATTTTCAATTTCTTTCATGAGAATGGACAAAAGAAAAAGAATAACTAACAAATAGTTAAATTGTGTGTTCTGTATTGATAATATGTTGCACGAATTCATTCATATATCATACAATACAAAGTCATCTAGTATTTATCTGATGATACAGATCAATAGCTAAAATCATACAATTCGAGTTGTGAATGACATTATGATAATTATGCTTCGGCATTTAACATTGCAGGTTTGAGTTTCAGCTTTGAAGCAGTTACAATGTTAGATGGAACGTTGCTGTTGGAAGAGATAATGCAAGCAAGACGGGTAATCAATTCCTAGTCTGTGACATCTTTATTGATCAACTTGTGTTTAGATTGAAGGTTATGCCCTCCTTTGAGGTGTACTGCAACACTGAACTATTCCGGGTTTAAGTTGTCGATCGTTTCTATTTAAGGGTGTGTAAATGAGCGGAGTTAAGCTCTTGAAGCTATGACTTAGCATGTAAAAGAAGTCATGAATAAGCTTGACTCATTCATTGAACCTGCTTAATTAAAAGCTTGAGCTTGGCTTGTTAAAAAAAAAAATATATATCAAACTTGAACTTGACTTGTTTAGCTCATTATAACTTGACATATTTATAAAAATATGTATAAATTTTTTCTCAGAAAAATAATTCATATTTTAAAAAAGAAGCTAATGTTTGCACAAATGCAGCTCAACATTAGCTAATAGACCTGAACACTGAAACAAACGGATTAATATTTCAATAAAACATATACTACAGTACCCTCCATCCTAAACTCTATACATATATAATCGAGCTACTCATGTGCTCTTAAAGTCAAAGCTTGGTGCTCAGCTCATTTAGATAATCAAGTCTAGTATAAAGTTTGGGTATATTTATTTAACTTAACAAACAAGCTTAAATAAGTAATTAAGAAGCCAAGCCCAAATAGTTCACAGATAGCTTGATTCATTTATACTCCTAGTGGTGAGCCAAAAAACTACCATATGTACATGGTGGAAACTGTGGCAGGTAATAAAAAATGTACAAAAACTGAAAAATAAACAGCAAATGGTTTGAAGTGAGGTGAGGAAGAACCTATCGTAAAAAGATTAATCTAATGGTTTGAAGTTATGATACACCATGGACAACCTATTAAGGTGGTAAATATGTCTTACATGCTCTCTTTAGAGACAAGCTCATTTTAAAAGACTCTTGGCCATTAAATTTGTTAGATGCTACAGTTTTGATTTTGTTTTTATTGAATAAATATTGTGAAACTGTGGCAACACGAAAGCTAACAATTCAATTCAGACTGTAGAGGTCCTCAAGTCATGAGGATTGAAAGCTAACAGTAAAACATTTTTTCCCTTTCATTTACTTTTGTAACGTACTGTAGACAAATTAATGTTGTGCTTTCTATTCTTTCTTTGTCCTGTATCACCTATCTCATACAATGGTATTCATATATATGGTGGAAATATAAATATTTTTCAATAGTATCCTATAGAGGTGTAGTGGCCCTGGCCTCCATATGCATTGCGGTAGTGTTATACTTCCCTGTATCAGCCAAAATAACAGCATTTCGGAGTGCTGTAGCATTGTTGTGCCGATGAGTGTTCAAATTCCCGAGAATGGCCTTCAATGCTAATGACTTAGAGGGGCATTTTATGCAGGTAATTTTTTTTTTTCTTTTTTGGTTAAAAGATGGTTTCAGATTCTAAAGACTATCTTTATTTTTATTAGGGATGAAAAAAATGAACAAAGTACGTAGACGGACATATCAGTCTACCGTAATATGACAAGGTAGATTAACATTTGTAGTTGATCAATCTTGGATTATCAACTCGTCAGGTTAGTCTATATTCTGTCTAATTAATAGAAAAATAAATTTTTTATTATAATACAATTAATCATAAAAATAATATATAAAACTAAAAATTATAAAAATATAATTAAAAGAATCATACTTTTATTCATTATAAGAAATATTATTCTCTCTTAAATACAAATTTTTCACTTTTTTTTATTTTCTTTTTGTTTATCTTCACATAATTATTCTTATCTTTATATGTTAAATATATATATATATATATATATATATATTAAATTATTGATAAATAAATAATAATTTTATTATTAAATTTATTAAAAAAAATTAATTTTAAAAAAATTAATCTTTTTTTAAATTATATCAAATTTGTAATAATTACAGTGAGCTCAACCCGTACTGATTCAATTTTGACGGACAAAACAGACAGGCGAAAATGGAACAAGGACACCTGTTTTCCCATTCCTACTCTTTATTACTGTACCTCACTTCTCTGCTCTGCTACCTTGCGACTGTTGCAAACCCAGTACAACTCTCTGCCAGCAGCTGTGCCTTCTGATGACTCTCTCCGGCAACCCTTGTAGCAGCTTCCGAGCTTCTTTTACTTCCATGTCTCATTCTATTTTTTTTGTTTTTAGTTATTCTTGTAAACTTGTTCTCTTATTCTCATCCATCTTTGTTGTGTTCTTTTGTCTCGCTTCTTCTGTATTTATTTTCTGTTTTCTTCTGTTCTTTTTTTTTTTTTTTTTTCCATCAGTCTATTCTCTCTTTATTGTTCTCTATGTTCCATCAGTCTTTTCACTGTCTATTGTTCTCTTTGTTTCATCAGTCTGTTCACTGTTTATTTTTCTCGTTGTTCCATAAATCTGTTCTCTGTTTATTGTTCTTTGGCCCTCTATCTCCCAAAGACCCAAATTCGTTCACCCTTTTCTCTATCTCTTTGGTTAAGTCTTGGCATCCTTTGCTACTATTTACTTGTAAGTTTGCTTAGGAGTTAAGACGAATAACTATTTATTTTTAACTATGAACATGTCAAAATTTGAGTATATTTTATTTTAAATTTTTAAGCATTTAATTGCATTTATTGTACTTAGTATGAAATATATAAACTGTACACAAAATTTTAAAATAGGCTATCATCCTGCCATAATATTTTGTATCAGTCGCTAGCCTGAAGAATGTAACAAGTTGGGGAGGTCTTTTACCAGGACACCTTATAAGGTGGAAGTTTTTCTAAACTTTTCAGCTAGCTTTTAAGGAATGATTTATCTATAGAGGATTTTGACCGTTGGAGGGTTCTGATCATAAGAAAAAAAAAGTGAAGTAACCATGGAAGATGCTGACTTTCCAACTGGATGGGATTGTGACAAGTCCCATGAGAAGGTATCTTTATTTCTGCTCTTACCCTTATGTTGTTACAAAGAACTTTTTCAAGGACCGTGGTGATGGAACTAGGATGCTTCGCTATGGTTAGTTCGAATTACATACTACTTCAGAACTTAATCATTTTCTCTGGCCACCTTCCTTCACTTTTTGTTTACTGCATTTCCTTACAAGGAAAAAAGTTTGTCCATTGAAAAATGCCGATGGACTACTCTATTGATGCTGTCTACGATTGATCAAACGTTGAAAAATAGAATGTTAATATTCGTTTTAAAAAGAACATATTAAAAAAGGTAAGCGTTTTCTAAAGTTTCTATATATATTTAGAAAAAACGTGAATGTTAAGATCATAAAAAATTCATAGTATTATAGTATGATTTTATATTAAATTTCTATTTTATTAATATTATATATATATATATATATATATATATATATATATATATATCATACTAATCTAATTAAATATTAATGTTAGGATACAGGAAGACCGAGTCATATCTTAACAAGAAGAAAATATAAAATTTTATTTTTTTATGTAAAAATTGAAAATTATAATTTAAAATAATGGAATTATTTTTGTAAATTTCTAACATTTCAATTTTTTAAAAATTTTATATTTAAACAATATATTTCCTGGTAAAATATTTTAAATAATTTATAAAAGTAAATTATTTTCCAAACTCTTATCAACCATAGTATACATAGTGAGAATAATATGTTTGCCAAACTGTTCTTATATATTTTTCATGTTAATTTAACCCTCATAAATATAAACATATTTTTTAGATAATTTTTTAATTTTATTGGAAACCGGGTGATAAATACAGAGCCCACCCGGCCCAAAACGTGTGGGGGGTTTTGATTGTATTAAAAAGAAAAATTCGAAAGAAGTGAGTTAGGGTTTTTGCAGAGTCTATTACATATAAAAGGAAGTCCTTATCTGATAGTATCGGTTAGTATTTCCACTTCACAATCTGTTCCAAACCATAAAAGCTTCAACGAAGGTATCGTCTTTTTTCACTTTACCAGTTCTTCGTTTCCTTGATCGTTTTTGGTATTTTCGGTTTCTGATCTATGGCTGTGGTTAATGTAATGATTTCAGTTTGTACTCAACAATCCAATTCGTGCGGTGGATTTGATTTTGCCCTTTGATTCTTTAGTTTGTAGAAACTTGTTCAATTTTTTGTTTTTCTATCATTTGTTATCAATTGTCGTCGTCGTCGTCGTCGTCGTCGTCGCGATTTGAGTTTTTTTCTTATTACATTATGAAAATGATTTATTACATTATGAAAATGACTGGAGATCGAAGTGTGCTGATGTCTTTTGTTTTTTACTCCTAGTTCAAGAAAAAGGTAAAATTTAGGATGTGATGGATTTTGCGAGTTTATTGATTGAAAATTTGTGTGTGGCATTTGGAATTTGCATTCTGAGGATATTTGAATTGCATCTGCGGATGAGGTGAATGAGGAAGAATTCGGTTCTTTTGAGTTGTTCCATAGGGAGACAGACGTATTGGAGATCTGAACTGGGGTTCCTGTGTGATGTATGGTGTGCTTGACTTCAGCATGCTCAATCTTTTCCGGAATGATTTTAGGATTACGTGCATGAAGTTTCACGCTAAATGGGCTCCTTGATATGGTTGAGATGAATTTGTACCATGTGCATACTTTCAGAAATAAGTTCTTCATACAATGCATACATAACATCACTCAAGTTCCTTCTACAAGGGTTGCTGTTTATCTCTAGTTTTTCGGTTATAATATATTATATGATAATGAGAATGATCAATTCTAAACTTCTCTTTTAGTATGTGGGTATCAACTTTTTATTTTTCTCCTGCTTCCCCTATCTGTGACTATTCTGGCTAGGTCTTTCATTATACCGCATGTTCTGTTAATGTGATATTACTTTGTCATTTTTTCCTATGCTATAAATTATTTGATATCTTATTATTTTTATGATTTCTAGTTATGTTTTAACCAGTTGATGATTACTAGTTAAATTATTTATAATTGTGTGCCTTTTGTATCCTTAACCAAACCCCTTTGTTATTGTTACCATTCATTTTTGCACCTTTATCAAGCTGTAGTGATTTACTTCTTGTTGAGGAACTTATTTTTGCTTCTTCACTTATATACAGATGGATGTAGAAAGGTTGAAGAAGATGGCCAGTTCCGTTAGAACTGGTGGGAAGGGTACTATGAGAAGGTATATTTGTATGTCAGAATCTGATTTTATTCAATACCTAATTTATGTTTTCTAATATTATTAAATACTCCTTTATATTTTTTTTAATGATTTGATGCCTCCATCAAAATGTTCTTAATAGATGTTCTACTAGCCATATATTGACATTTTCTTATTGCACTTGTATTAGAAAATATATCGACATTATACATTTTTAAAATGATTTGTTTTCTCTCATAGAAAGAAGAAGGCTGTCCACAAGACTACTACCACAGATGACAAGAGGCTTCAAAGCACCCTGAAGAGAATAGGGGTGAATGCTATCCCTGCAATTGAGGAAGTCAACATCTTTAAGGATGACGTAGTTATCCAGTTTTTAAACCCTAAAGGTAAAATTAATGGGTGATATTTTTTTAGTGTACGATATATTTCAGCATTGTAAGCTGGCTAATTGTTAAACATTGAATCTTTTGCAGTACAAGCATCTATTGCTGCCAATACATGGGTTGTTAGTGGCTCACCTCAAACAAAGAGTAAGTGTGCATATCTTTTTCTTCATCTATGTATGCTGTTTTAACACCTGACTTATTTTGAGCTGTCTGCTTTGGTGTGTTATGCTAAGTCTTAACTTCTTTACAGACTATTCCCCCTATGTCTTTGAGCATTATGCAAATTTTTGTTATCAATCTGCCTAAGTCAATCTTCAGGCACTGGACGCTTTAACATAATTTTCCACCATTTCAAGTATCAGCGTTGACTGTAGTATTCCATTTGATTTTTAACCGATCTCATTCTAGATTGCATTTTACTTAAGACAATTTTCTGTTTCGCAGAGTTGCAGGATATTCTCCCTAACATCATCCACCAATTAGGTGTGATATGTATCTTCTTAAAGCTTGAGCTTTGTCTTCCTTTTTCTTTTTTGTCTTCCTAATTTGAGACTGGTTATTCTAATAAAATGCAGGGCCAGATAACTTGGAAAACCTGAAGAAACTAGCTGAACAGTTTCAGAAGCAGGCACCTGAAGCAGGAGCTGGTGCAACCACAGCACAGGATGAGGATGATGATGATGATGCTGTCCCTGATCTTGTCCCAGGGGAGACTTTTGAGACAGTTGCTGAAGAGACTAAGTCTTAGAATTTTTTTACTGTGTTGTTTTTAATATATTTTGGATGCTTTTTAAGTTTTTTTATTTTTTTTTCATTTTTGCTCTTTTAAAATTGAGAGTTTTCAGGTGTTGTTTATACTTTAAATTGTTAAAGACACTTAATTCTGGGTTCGTCCGTCTAACTAGAAGGTGTTATTACCTGACTGCACCTGAGTTTGTGTATTGTATGTTCATTCTTGGAGGTAGAAATCAATTTTGTTGAGTTATTTCCACTTTTGCTTTCCCTCGATTAAGCAGCCACTTGTTGAAACTGGTTTTGCTCCCAACCAACTTTCTATGAACCCTGGGGTTATTTGAGAAATACAAATTGAAGTTTAGATTGTTATTGATACAAATTTTCTTAAAGGCTCAACACATAATATATGCCGAGTTATCTGTTTGATGTTAGATGTTGGATTACAATGATGTGTAAGCTAAAAGACTAATGACGTAGCAGTTATAAGAGCTGCACAATATTTGTGTAAATAATCATGATTTTTGTAAATAAAGAGGTTGTAATACTATCATAGTCAACTTGCAATAGTGGGCGACAGAATTGAGGAAAACATGAACCAGAGTCCAAAGTTTCCCACTTCAATATTTATTTCATGCGGGTCTAATGAGATCAATAGCCCCAAGATTTGTAAAATGTGATTACACCCTAAACAAAATGTTCCTTCTTTAGACAACGTATAAGTTTGGAGTGTTGGAACATATACAACTATTTGCTAAGCAGCCACATTATAACAATATTACCCTTTCCATCAACATCATCAAGATAACATGTAATAGTCATTGGTCTTTTTATTCCTTTTAACTTTTCATGCCAAACTTCTTCAGAATTTCAAAAAACAATACTTAGTTTGATTTATGAAGATTCTAAATTTTAGTTGTTTGATTTGAGAACCAACAATAAAGAAAGACTTCTCAATCTCTCTCTCATGGTACTTAACAAAATCTTCACAAGATAATTATTAGTTCAACCAAATATTATATCAGCAGAACTAATAAAATAACACTCTTACATTTCTTAATAAATAAAATTGAATAACTTTACCTTTTCCGAAATCATTTATATTAAGAAATTATTTAACCTTTCATATATCATCTAGGATCTAAGAGTATGATTCAAATCATATAACACCTTCTTCCGCTTAAAGATATGATTTGGAAATTAAAATTAGGTAGCCCTCAACATACACTTTTTTTTAATGCATCCATAAAAAAAAAGTTCTTTACACCTATTTGAAAAAGTTTAAATTGGATCATTCAAGCACTAATGACATATATTGTCAGTGTTAAATATTTAATAATTCATTATTTTAATTTTTTTCTAAACAAATCCAATCACTTATTTTGATACAATTGTTTCTTTAGTCCTTAAAATATATAAAGAAATTAGTCCTCATAAAATTACGATTATTTTTTAGTCATTTAAAGAGAATGAAGAAATTAGTCCTGCAAGAAAATGATGTTGGTCCTTTCTTCTCCACTACATGTTGTCAATTTCCACCAATGATTAATGAATCTACTATAAAATAAGATACGTACCCTTCAACATCATCCTTATTTTTGGTTTATTTTTATAAATTTTTATAGGAAATGGAATTAATTTGGTGAGTAAACATCTTCATGAAAATCCACATGTCTAATGATATATATTGAAAAAATATTTTATAATGACACAATATTATAATATCAAAATTAATATATATAAAATAAATTATAAAATTTAAGAAAAAATTATTGAATGAGAAAGAAAAAAATTAGATATAATTTCCTTATTAATAGTAAATAAATATATTAATTAAGTAGATGAATATTATATTGATTTAAAATATTTATTATTACCTGGATTGTATTAATTACTATTTATATTTTTAGTGTTAAACAATATAATTCAAAATAATAATAACTATAAGAAAATTGTTACATAAATTATTGATTAAAATAAAATAATATTCAATGAAATGCAATAATCTTTACAGGAATTAAAATAATTTTTTAATATAACCCATATACATATTTAATGCATCTATATAAGACATATAAATATATTTAATGTATTAAATGTTTAATAAATTTTTATTATTATTTAATGTTGAATTTATACTTATCTCATTATTCTTCCTTAGTTATGACTCCTTATTCAATAAATTTCTTTTATTTGTACAATATTTTCGAAACCCTATTTTGCCTCTTCACATGCATAGCCAATAAATATATTAATAATGAGAGATTAAAATAAATAAAATCAGTAAAATTAAAATAATAAATACATTGATAAGAAACATTAAAATAATTAAAGCAATAAAAACTATTTCAAAATAAGATTATATATCTTATCAGTGTTTTAATTTCTATAAAAATATAACTTTATTTATATACAAAATATTTTGAAAACTATATTTTATCTTTTCACAGCCAATATATATATATATATATATATATATATATATATATATATATATATATATATATATTAATGATGATAAATTAAAGTAATAAATATATTAATGTCTTAATTGGCATAGAGTTTAGCTTTGTTTTATACTCAAAGTATATTGACAATATTGTTTTACCTTTCTTAAAATATTAAATATATTAATGATGAGTAGGATTTATTTAATTAAAGTTAATAAAATATAAAATATTAATTATGACAAATTAAAGTAATAAATACATTAATGCCTTAAGTTACATTAGTGTAAATTATTTAACGAGTGAGAATGATATATATATATATATATATATATATATATATATATATATATATTCTCTGAAAAATGATTATCATATTTTATTTTGATTTTTATAATTTAATTTACCGCATTTTTGTGGGTCAAATGTATGACAAAATAAAATAGACAGGTTCACTCACATTCTTATCCTCTTTTATTGTCATCTTATTATGATATATAAGATAAAATATAAAAATCTTAAAAATATTTTATAAAAGTAAAAAAAAAATTTAATATAACCTAAGTCTAAATTTTGTTGAAATGAAAGAAAAATATAAGTAAAAAAATAAAGTAAAAAATATTCAATAAAAAAATACATAAAAAAAGAAAATTGGTCATTTTAAAAATAAAAAATAAATAATAATGAGTAATTATACAATTCTAAAATTACTAATAAATTTATTTTAGAGAGATAATTTTAAAGGTACTATTTTTCTTTACATTCTCTTCTTTCTTTTTATCTATAGAAAAACATATTTTTATTTATTATTTTCTTTGATATTAAATAAAAAAATCACTTTCTTCCTATTCATTTTCTTGCACTAGTAACTTTGAACTCTATATATTTTCCTAGAATATATTTATAATTAAATAAATGGAGTGAAAGTTACAAGATAATGTTTTGAATGCACATAACGAGATTCATTATTAAGTAATAAATGTTTTTTAAGAAAGAAATATAATTATTTAATGTCCATTATTATTGAATTTAATTTATATCCGCTAATAAGGATTCAATGTGATTTGCTTCTTCTATCTTCATTCTTTTCTCCTTATTTATACTCTTTTGTTTCTCATCACACATTGCATCAACTTTTAGCATCACTTTCATTCAGTTCTGTGAAACTCTGCAAAAGGGTACTGTTTCTGTCTTTCTCATGTTAATCCGAAGAGTTAGCACATGTTCTTTCTTTGAGTTTAGCATCATAGTAAATCTTTTCTTTTTGTTTAGGAAGAGAAAAGTAGACACTGCCATGTCCACTACCAGTACAGTTCTGGCTTCCACTCCAACGCCAAGGTAATAGATTCTATCTGTCATCTCTGACACCCATTTCAGCTCTGCATGTACTGTTCTTGGTTTTGAATGTATGAAGCATGTTCAATTTCTCATGGTGTAACCTTGCATGTTCAGTCTTTAAATGATCTGTGATGACCAACATCTGTTTTTGGTTTTGGATCTAATTTATGCAACTGTCATTTCTCTTTAGAAGTGCTTTTTTTTTTTTAAAATAAAATTATCAGATTTGTGTTTTTTATATGTTTGCTTATTTCAAAAGTAAATAAATTTCTACTTTTTTGAAGAAAAAAAGTCTTTTTTTGTTGTTTATAAATAAATGATTTTTTCAGAAACACTTATTTTAAGTTTGCATGTTGTTGCAGCAAGCAATACTTCTTTTGCTGTCTCTCTTGTTTTGGTAAAGTTTATAGGGATGAGTTTTGTGTTTTTAACTATATACCTGCTCAGTTTATTTGACATCATCAAGTTGTTGATTTCATGCTTGTAGCTGTCTGGTTACAAATTCCATGGCTCTATATTGCTGTTATAGTCTCAATTTCTTCACAATTCTTTACACTGCTATTGGGCTTATTTTCAGCAGTGATCTGATTTCATTACTCTTACTATAGTTCAAGTGGGGATTTTGTTTTTCCAATCTGTGAGATATTTACAATTTCTTCTCTGCTAGTTAGTTGTCAGATCTCTATCAAATTTCTATCAGTATTTGGTTATAAAGGATTTAGGTTTGGTTAGTGTATGTTCTTGGTTCTCCCAATTTTGTCAAAGTGTTTTACTCCTCTGATGCCCAGATCTACTATTTATTAGTCAATCTTCAATCTCATACCCAATTGACTTTGGATTATGTTTTTTAAATTATTGGATGATTGTCTTATTAATTTCTTGTAACTTAGCTTATGTTTCTATGTTGTGCTGGGTTAATAAGGATGGAAAATGATAGTACCTAACATATGAGGGGAAAAGTAAATAGATAGAGATAACTTTCACAACAGGATTCGCAAGAATAAACATGATTTTCCTGATGAATTTGGCAGAACACTTCAAATTATTTGTTAGGTGCTTCTATGTGGGTTGGTTCAATCTTCATAACTAATTAACCATGATATAGGACCTTACTCTGCTTTTTCAGATAACTATGACAAACCCCTCAATTTAGAGACAACTATCATGATATTAAATCTTATTTTACAGTAAAATGAAACTCTCAGCAGACAGTTTTATGGTTTGGCCAGTCTAATGAAGTTCCATTTTTCTGTAAAATAATGAAATAGCATTTAACATCTTTTCTGTCAACTTGTGATAAAATATTCCTTGTAGAGTATTACAAATAGGCCCTGGGGATTCCTCAAGTCAAATCTGGTTTGGCTTGTCAAGGCTAATATAGCAAACTTATTCTCAGTTTATAATGAGGCAGCTCGCTGTTCACTCACACACGGCTAGTCTCCAACATAATTTTGATAAAACCCATATCATAAGCCAATTTCAGCCTCATGATTTGTAGATGGAATTAGATTCAGTTCAATAATCTTCCGTAGATGTAGGATCTGTTTGGGCGAGTTTATTCATAAATTTTTAAGAGGAAAATAGGAAAAAAAATGAAATTATCTTCTTCAAAAGTTAATATTAGTTTATACATTTGTTAAAAAAATAATAATTAGGGGAGTTATTCACCATTAGGACACAAGATAAGAGAATATAACATCACCTTTAGTTCAAAATCTTAAGACATTAGGTAAAGTATAGGGGTCTTTCTCACTTATATGTTACTTAATTGTCCTATTTATATACAATGTAGAACTCCAACCTCACACTTGGATTCCAACACTAACATTGCTTTAGAGTTGCATTTAGGAAGCCTACCAAAATGGTCATATATGAGGTTTCAAATGGTTTATAGATTTCAAACATAGTTGGCACATTTTTGTGGGTGCACTAATACTCTCTTTTCATACACTGTTTTCAGTACTTCTCAGTGTTTATACTTTGTTGAGAAATTCAAGTGAGTCCAAGTCCCACATTGAATAAAAATGAGAAAATTGAGCAATAGAACAACTCATAACCTAATGTCTTAAAGTTTTGGACTGAAAGTGATGTCAATTCCTTATGTGGGTTGTGCTCATACTTCATCGGTGTTGTCTCTCCCTGGTGAATCCCTGGTGTTCAGTTGTGTAAGAGTAGTTTTTATATCGAAAGTCTTCTTGATAGTGGGTCAGATTTGGTGTTCAGTTGTGTAAGAGTAGGTCTTATATCGAAAGTCTTCTTAATAGTGGGTCAGACAAACATGTCTTGTATGATGAAAGGTGATACAAGTGAGGGTCACTAGTGAGCTCAAGGGATGTACCAATGTGAAGAAACTCACTTGAGAGAGAGATTGTAGAAAAATCCAAGTATGAGTCTAAGTTCCATATTAAGTGAAAATGAAGAAGTAACATATAAGGAAAAAGACTCATAAACTCAATATCTTAAGGTTTGGAGTTGAAAGTGGTGTTAATCCTTTATGCAAGTTAGATTCATGCCTTATTAGTATTATCTTTTCTTGGTGAATTCCCTCTTGAAAGATCCTTCAAACTTTTTGTAGCCTAGGAAGTACTACTGCATGCATGATTCACACCATTCCCCTTGTGCTCCTAAAGTTCTAATTATGTGACTACCAATTTTTCCATTGTCTCTTTTTCTCAGGTTATTAGGCAAAGTGGCATTGGTTACAGGTGGTGCATCTGGAATCGGTGAAAGCATTGTGCGCCTCTTCCATATCCATGGTGCTAAAGTATGCATAGCAGATGTGCAAGACAACCTTGGAAAGCAGGTGTGTGAATCCCTTGGTGGTCAAGCAAATGTTGTGTTTCTCCATTGTGATGTTACCATAGAGGATGATGTTTCCCGTGCAGTGGACTTTACTGCGGAAAAGTTTGGCACCCTTGACATCATAGTCAACAATGCTGGAATTTCTGGATCACCTTGTCCTGATATCCGCAGTACAGAGTTATCAGAATTTGATAAGGTGCTTAGTATTAATTTGAAGGGAGTGTTTCACGGCATGAAACACGCAGCTCGAATCATGATCCCAGAAAAGAAGGGCTCAATTGTTTCTTTAAGCAGTGTAGCAAGTGCCTTAGGTGGCATAGGAATACATGCATACACAGCATCAAAACATGGTGTTGTAGGGCTCACAAAGAGTGTTGCAGCTGAATTGGGGAAGCATGGTATAAGAGTGAACTGTGTGTCACCTTATGCTGTTGCAACAGGTTTGGCTTTGGCCCATTTGCCTGAGGATGAGAGAACCGACGATGCCTTGGCCAGTTTCCGTGATTTTACTCGGAGAATGGCCAACTTGCAGGGTGTAGAGTTAACTGCCCATGATGTGGCTAATGCTGTGCTCTTTCTTGCAAGTGATGAGGCCAGATATATCAGTGGAGACAATCTCATGGTTGATGGTGGCTTCACCAGTGTTAATCACTCACTCCAAGTTTTTAGATGATTAATGGTATTTCAATGTTTGTTTATTCACAATTTAAGACATTGCAATCATGAAGTTCATTACAAGGATTTTCAGTAAACATACCAATAACATGATTATTATGGTTCAAAGTATGCTTGTTTATCATTAAGTTGTAGTATGTTATGATCACAGTACACTTCAAATTTAATTTATGTGAAATTTATCTCCATGCAACAACAAAGGGACCAAGGTGCCATATTATGTGAAATTTGGTCTTCTCCCTCATCCTTGATGAGTCTTCAATAAAAGAAAGCAACAAATCCTCAAATGTTCAAGTGAGTCTTCGACCACCATAGCACTGTATTTGTGGTCAATGTTCAAATAATTTATTAGCCAAAAAGAAGGGTCTTCATCTCTGCAGACAAAAACAGCACCTCAAAATCATCACAGCATCACTCATTTTTATGGCTTCCTTCTTTGCATAAGCTTAAACCCTGAAAAACAAAACTTCTTTAGTTATACTAAATTAAAGTTTAAATTTTTCATTTTTTATAGAAAAAGTAATTTTTTTATAATACGCTATAAAGTTTTATTTAGTATACGTTTATTTTTTAGATAAAAAGTTTCAATCTTCACGAAAACAATTCCAAAAGAAATTTTATATTAGATATTCCAGCAAGATAAAAAAAAATGAGGGAAAGTTAAAATAATCAGTAATTATTATTTTAAAATTTAAATATCATTTTATTTTAAATATATATTAAACTACTTCACACCTAACTAATTAGTTTTATGTTGATGTCAAAGTTCATGTCAAAGTCTAACAGGAGACAAAAAATTGTCCTAGGTACTCTTTGTTGTTTTCCTAGTCCCATTGGTGGAGGCGGATTATCTCGGAACCTTATCAGAAACGTAACAACATGGTTATGTATTTTAAATTTAGAAAAGAACAAGGTATAATTTAGAAATATAAATAACATACGTGACTATTGTTTGGTTTAAAAAGGGAATGAGAATTAAGATTGGATTTTTGCTAAAAGTTAGAGACGAAGATTAATTTTTCTTTTAAAATATCAAACTACCAAACTTATCTATTTTTACTAGATTCTCTGCTTCTCTAACCCTCTTATATTTCTATTTTCACTCGGTCAAAGCTCCTTCTTTTCATTCACTGTAAGCAGATCGCCATGTCCACTATCAGCACTGTTCTTGCTTCCACTCCAACACCAAGGTAATATATATTTCTGTTTGGTCAAACATTGACCTAACACCCTTTATAGCTCTGCATATACTGTTCTTATTTAATATATATATATATATATATATATATATATATATATATATATATATATATTCTTATGGTAAATTTGCTTGCTGAGTCTTGAACAGGTTTGTATTGAGCAACATCTGTTTTTGGATTTGGATCTAGTTTAAGGAACTTGTCAATTTTTATGCATCAGATTTTGTGTAACATAATGGCTTGCAAATCTGTTAGATAGCTGGAGCATCATAACCTGTTGTTGTTGCAGGAAGTTTGACTTCTTCAGCTCTCTCTGGATCTTGTTTTGATAAAATTAGCAGGGAAAGATTTGTAAATTTTACTACTAATGAAATAAGTTATCTGTTTAGGTTATAATATTTGAACTTGGTGAATTGATGGCTATTGATGTCTGTTTACAGATTGAATTTATAATGTTTTCACCTGTTTGGCTTATTTTCTGCAGTGGTATGTTTTTATTACTCTTAATATTCGATTTGGTTCAAAAAGAATTTAGGCTTGTTTCCATGCATTTTCATGGTTCTCTCATTCTTCTTAAGGTCAAATCTTCAAAGTCAAATTTAGTTAAATTTGGATTTTGTTTTATACCCCTTTTCTTGAGTGCTCTCAAGTCCCAATTTTGTGACTTCCAAGTTGTTTTATCTCAGGTTATTAGGCAAAGTAGCATTGATTACAGGTGGGGCATCTGGAATAGGAGAAAGCATTGTGCGTCTCTTCCATACACATGGTGCTAAAATTTGTATGGTTGATGTGCAAGACAATCTTGGAAAGCAGGTGTGTGAATCCCTCGGGGATGAAGCTAATGTTGTTTATCTCCATTGTGATGTGTCCATAGAAGATGATGTTTCCCATGTAGTGGACTTCACTGTGGGTAGATTTGGCACCCTTGACATCATAGTCAACAATGCTGGAATTTCTGGATCACCTTGTCCTGACATCCGCAATGCAGACTTATCAGAATTTGACAAGGTGTTTAGTATAAATGTTAAGGGAGTGTTCCACGGGATGAAACATGGTGCTCGAATTATGATCCCAGAGAAGAAGGGCTCAATTGTTTCTTTATGCAGTGTAGCAAGTGCCTTAGGTGGCCTTGGACCACATGCATACACAGGTTCTAAATATGCTGTTTTGGGACTTACAAAGAATGTTGCAGCTGAACTAGGGAAACATGGTATAAGAGTGAATTGTGTGTCACCTTATGGTGTTGCAACAGGTTTGGCTGTGGCCCATTTGCCTGAGAATGAGAGAACTGAGGATGCAATGGTTGGTTTTCGTGATTTTACTGGGAGAATGGCCAACTTGCAGGGAGTAGAGTTAACTACCCGTGATGTGGCTAATGCTGTGCTCTTCCTTGCAAGTGATGATGCAAGATATATCAGTGGAGATAATCTCATGGTTGATGGAGGCTTCACGACTTCAAATCACTCACTTCAAGTTTTTAGATGATTGATGCATGATATTTCATTGTATGTTAAATTACTTGGTTTGAGACATTGCCATCACAAGGATTTTTAGTTAACATACAAATAATGTGAAAAAACTCCTCTAAAAGGAGGTTTGTTTATCCTTAAACTTAGATGGCAGGATCACAGTGTGCTTCAATTCAATTGATGTGAAATTTATGGCCATGCAACTAACAGAGGGACCAAGGGCTCAGATTCTTCTGCTTAGTCAACTCTCTCAGCTTTGGCTAGTGTAAATTTATCGTTGACTTGCCTAGTCTTGTGTGATTTACCTGTTTTAAAGTGAAATAGCATGTTCATCAAATATTCCAAAATGATTTTCATATGTTCTTTAATCCTTCTACCTAGGGCTTAACATGGGTTGGTTTGGGTCCTGTTCTGCTCCTCTTTCCTCTATTCATCTCGTTTCTGCCTCATTTACTAAGATGAAGAAGAGAGATTGGAAAAAAAATGGGACAACATTTGAAATTGCTATTTTCAACATTTCATTGAAGATGGATATATATATTCTTTTATGGAGTAGTTGATATAGTTTATGATTCTTCTACTCAAAAGCAAGCATGACTTATAATTAATAGAAAATGGTGGTACGGATCATCGTAATCATATGTTTTGTTCAAAAGAGATTGTGAAAATAATCACATCCGAAAATTATTGAAATTCAAATGCATTATAAAAATGAGAAAGTTAATCAATAAATTAACACTCACAAAACTAAGTTTTAAAAAAACTTTCGACCTTTGTGGAAAGTTTTAATTTTACATTAAAAAAAAATTCTTTAACAATAAATCTTATTATAAATATTTTTTGTCAAGAGTTTAAAATAAATTTGAATTTCTCATTTTAAAATTTATTTTTTCCAAAATAATTCTTGAAGTATAATTTAACTTTTTTAATATATTTTAGATAATATTTTCCAAAAATCATAAAATTATTATAAAAAGAAAAATCAATGTTATTCCTAACCAAGAGATGTAAGCAACAATGGAGGTGTCAAAAATAATATAATTGCATCCAATATTTTTTAGGTAATTTATATAGAATCTAAATTAATCTTTGAAAAAGAAAGTGTCATTCATGTACTTTTATAACTTGATTTGTTTAGTAAGAACATCACTAAAAGGAGTTTTTAATAATAATTGTGTAAGATTAAAATTGAATATTTTATTACCAGTTCCACAGATCGAATTGCTTAAAATTTGGTTAAAGTTGATAAATAATTTTTTTTCACTTTTAAGTAACTTTCTCCACTTGTAAATAATTCAAATGTGAGACTCATAATAAAATATTTATTTTTATTTCTGAACAACTTCGGGTAACAACTCCTTTTGCAGATGCTATAAGGCACTGATTAATTTTCCAATCAATTGCAATAAATCTCATTAGAGCAGCCTTGCATATATAAAATTAGTAATGTGACTTTTCACGTGTTTAATCTAACTCAAACTCAGTTAATAATATTTAATCGTCTATTTGTCAGTTTAATCAATGATATTCAAGCTTTTCTCTCTTGTCACGTATCTTATAATACACAATTTTTTTACTAGAGAAATTATACCATTCTCTTATATTTTCTCTTCTTGTTTCTTCTTATTTATTCTTGCATTTCCGGTCGTGTTAAATATAGTAAAAATTGGGTATAAGATTAATCTTCCTTGTGAGTAAAATACATATAGGTAATATATTTATAATAAAGAGTAATATAAGAAAATATGACAAATATACATAAATATGGAAATTATAAGATATTGTTAGATATTATGACTAACAAATATCTAATAATATCTAACACTCCCCTCAAGTTGGTGCATATAAATTATATGTACCAAACTTGTTACAAATATAATCAATTCTAGATCTTTCTAAAGACTTTGTGAAAATATCTGTTAACTGTTCACTTAAGTTAACAAACTCGGTTTTAATGTGTCTCCAAATACAATATTTTCTCGAATAAGATGACAGTTAACATCAATGTGTTTGGTCCTTTCATAAAAATCAAGATTAGAGCTAATATGAAGAGCAATATGATTGTCACATATAAGTGTTATTTGAGTGACATCTCCAAATTGCAGCTCTTTAAGTAATTGTTTAAGTCAAACAAGTTCGAAGTGACTGATATCATAACTATATATTCTACTTCTACACTAAATCTTATCACAACACTTTGCTTCTTGTTCTTCCAAGAGATCATGTTACCTCCAATAGAAACACAATATTCAGAAGTAGATCATGTATCAAGAGATCCTGCCCAGTCAATATTTGAATAATAGACAACTTTAACCTGGTTATTTTGATCATATAACAAACATTTTCCAAAAACTCTTTTAATGTACTTTAATGTACGGATGACTGTTGAATTATTGGCAAACGTACCAAAATTATCAATCGCAGTATAGTATTTCGATAAAATAAAAGTCGATCCCACGATGAACAGTTTCAATGAAAATTCCCAATTATGCTTACTAAGTATATTAAACAGATTGGATTTTGCAAATAAGAGTTGAGTTGAATTTAAATGATAAAGAACTGTAAATTGTTGAGAAAATATCAATTAAAGGTACTTAGGATTGACTTCCTTCCTTATCCCTCTTTTGTAATGGTTATGTCAATTAAGAACGTCAATTAACCTAACAATGTTGATGCCACCTACTCAAATCATCCATGTTGATTTCTCACACAATTAACAGATTTTCCAGCATTAGGGTTAGGGTGTTTAAGCAATTGATACATTCATTCTATTCCTGAAAATTAACGTAACAAATATTCTTACCGTGATCTAGGGTTCAAGATATATTTTCCAATCATACCTCAAACAATCAAGAATAAATCATTTCAAAGCATAAAGGATAAGAATAACAACATCAAAGCATAGATTAATATCTCAAAATATCACCATGATACAAAAGAGTTCAAAGGAAGTGCACCGAATCCTAAGAGAATGAAGTTAGCCACTCATGTTGGCCATTACAATGCTCAAATTGATGAAGAAGTGAAAAATTGATGAAGATTAGACAAAACCCTAACAGTAGTCGTGCCTCCTCTCCTCCAAGACTGCTTGTTTTTCTTAAAACACAACTTATCTTTTTATAAGAGAATTTGGGTCAGGCCTCGCATCATTCATTCGCTTAAGCGCTCTTCTTTCTTTCAATTTTACTCCAATTATGCTCCTTACTCTTGTATCAAGGTATTCTCGAATTCATCCTATATTGGGAGAAAAATATATTAGAATTAACATAAGTTAAGTGGTTTCATAACAATTCAAGGCATAATTATATCAACTTTTTACCACTTAACAACTCCCCCCAACCTAGAATCTTGCTTGTCCCAAGCAAAGTAGTTTTTCCAAAACAAAATCATCACCTATTATCTCTTTCTCTTCTAGAACCACAACATAAAATTTTTCAGGGGTGATGCTCACAACTCCAAATGAAAATAGAACACATAAGCATTCAAGTTATAGAAACCAACAAACAATAATTAGTCCTCAACTATCCTCAGAGAAGCATGATCTCTCAAATAGAGTTATATATACTCATCTCTAATTCTCATAGGTAAGTGTTTATCTCATTCAATCACTTCATTTAGACAATCCAATATTGATAATCATCTTCAAGTAATCAACAATTGTTAAACAAGACTTAAATCAAAAGGTCTTTTGAGGCTTGTAATGGGACTGGGCTAAGAAAGAATTATTGATTTTTCTGGGATATACAAAAATATTTGAGAAATTCAACTCATATGAATGATTCTTGATTAACAATTCCTCAAGTTAGGTTTCAAATTTCATGCTTTTGTCCCTAACACAATGACAATAAGTTAATAATCTCACAAGTTATTCCCCCCTTTTTACTCTTTTTTTTTTTTTTTTTAACAATAACACCCCAACAATACCTATAGGACAACAATAACAATACCCAACAATAAGAAAAATAATGACATTCATACTCATTTCCTTTCTCAAATATAGGAAGGTAGATAAATAGTGTTTAGGCTTAAGGGTTCTGTTTAAGAAACAATATTATTTTTGGCTCAGAAGGGTTCAAATGGATGTCCTATAATTAATGCATGGTTGGCTTTTTGACTCTAGGTTATATCTACTACAAAGAAAAAATTGCCTTTATCATTTTCAAGTCTTGCCAACATGCAATCACATCAAAGAATCAACCAATATCAGTTATCATCACAAAGTGTTGACACTCAATTTATCTGTTTTTGGTACTCTGCTCACCTGGGTTTTGGCTAGCTTCTCCAATTCAGTTAATTCCTAATTTTCCTCATCAATTCCTTTTCACTATCATACTCAATATCCCAAAATCACTTGTTATTGGAAACAATCAAAATTATTTTTCACGTTCTAGATTTGAATTAGACAATAAGCAATAATCTCATATATGACTCTAAAACAAATTATGGGACAACAAGGGAATTCAAAATTTAAAATAAAGCAATTAAAAACATTAAATTAAAAACAAAGGAATTAAAAACATTAAAAGCAAAGTAAGTTTCCTCCCTCATTTTCTTCACTTGTCATGTACTCCTTATCTTGTGCCTCAGCCTTAGCTGCAGACTTTCTCACCCCCTCTAGAAAAGTTGGACTGTCCTCAGGCCATTGAAGTAAGACTTCAAAGTCTTGAGGAGAAGTGCACTGTGTACCTGGAGCAATCTTGCAAAGAAAGAACCTAAGGACGAAAAATGCACAAAAAAACTTAAACTTCAAAAAGAAAAAAAAAAACAAATTCAAAACATTGGGTTGCCTCCCAGGAGCGCTTGTTTAACGTCTTTAGCTTGACGCCTATTTGCTTTAGGGCTCATGTAGGTGAGTGATCAAGGTGATATATACGCATTCTCCATCCCTTAATTGTCCTTGTGGGAACGATTTTATTCTTTTCATTGTGAATAACCTTACAACTGTCAGAGATTGGATAAATTATACCTGCTTCAGGAGGTTTTAGTACCTTTCTTTGAACAACTTCCTTCATAGTCAGACTAAGATGTTTTTGGGGTTGTGCAACAGGCTTGTAATCTTGTTTTTCAGTTGAGATGGGTAATTCTTCCAAAGTATCTATTCTGAGGCAATCTTTCTTGTCTTTCGGTTGTTGTACAACTTCAAACAGATTAAAATTAACTTCATCATCTCCACTTCTAATTTTCAACTTGCCCATGTCAACATCTATAATTACTTTGGAAGTCTTCATAAATGGCCTTCCCAGGATCAATGGGACTTCCTCATTTTCCTCCATGTCCATAATCACAAAATCAACAGGAAATATGAAGTTATCCACTCTAACTAAAACATCTTCTGCTACTCCATAAGGAATCTTTACAAATCTGTCAGTTAGCTGTAATGTCATTCTTGTAGACTTTACTTCCAAGTCTCCTATTCTTTTAAGCATAGACAAAGACATTAGATTTATACTAGCACCCAAATCAAGTAATGACTTACCTACTTGTAACGTCCCAATTGTGACTGGTATAGTGAAACTGTCAAGATCCTTGGACTTTTGAGGCAATGATTTCTGAATTATAGCGCTGCATCCTGCTTCTAGCTCCACTATTTCTGTAGTAAATCTCCTTTTCTTAGTTAACAACTCTTTCATGAATTTTGCATAAGTCGGCATCTACTCCATAGCTTCCATAAATGGAATATTGATCTGTAAATGCTTGAAAATATCCATGAATCTTGCAAACTGTCTTTCTTTATCTATCTGTGAGGGAACCTTGGGATATGGTAACTTCTCTACAAAATGTTTTTTGACTCCCTCCTTTTTCTATCTTTTGTTTTTTCTCTCCCTCTTCGTTCTTCTTATTAGGGATATGTCTTTCTTTATTATTCTCCTCTTCTTGATCTTCATCTTCTTTTACCAAAACTTCTTCTTCAACAACTATATTGTCACCAATCCCCTTACCTACAACTTTTCCACTCCTTGTAGTTATTGAATTGCATTGCTCCCTGGGGTTGGTTTGTGTGTTAGCTGAAAACTGTCCTCCTTGTTGCTGCTCAGATAATTGCTTAGCCAGTTGGCCTATCTAGGTCTCTATATTTATGATTGAAGCCTCAGTATTTTTCTGATAAGCCATAGTGCTTTGCATAAATTTTTCTACAATATCCTCCAATTTACTTATTCTCTCAGGCACTGAAGGATAATGATGTTGCTGCTGATATGACTGTTGTTGAAATGCAGGTTGTCTAGTAGATGAGCTAACACCTTGGTTCCACCCAAAATTCTGATTCTGATTTTGATTCCCCCTCCATCCTTGTACAAAATTATTCTGATAATTATTGGGATTAGGAAAATTTCCTTGTCTGCCTTGACTACTACCTTGGGCCCCCATATAATTAGCTTCTTCTTGCTGAATGTTGCCTTGATAAGAGCATTGTTCATTTGAATGATCACCTCCATACATGTCACAACTCATCTGTTGATTAGGAATAGATTGTACTGTGTGTATTTGTTGAGGTAATTTCTCTATTTTCTGGTTCAATGCTTCAATTTGTTGGGTCAAAATTTTATTCTGGGCTAAGAGAGCATATGTGGTGTTAAATTCAAGGACTCCCTTCCTTTGAATTGGATGTCTATCATGTTGAGCCTGTTGGTCTATAAAGGCTAGTGCATCAATCATTCTTGTTTGGTCAAACATTGACCTAACACCCTTTATAGCTCTGCATATACTGTTATTATTTAATATATATATATATATATATATATATATATATATATATATATATATTCTTATGGTAAATTTGCTTGCTGAGTCTTGAACAGGTTTGTATTGAGCAACATTTGTTTTTGGATTTGGATCTAGTTTAAGCAACTTGTCAATTTTTATGCATCAGATTTTGTGTAACATAGTGGCTTACAAATCTGTTAGATAGCTGGAGCATCATAACCTGTTATTGTTGCAGGAAGTTTGACTTCTTCAGCTCTCTCTGGATCTTGTTTTGATAAAATTAGCAGGGAAAGATTTGTAAATTTTACTACTAATGAAATAAGTTATCTGTTTAGGTTATAATATTTGAACTTGGTGAATTGATGGCTATTGATGTCTGTTTACAGATTGAATTTATATTGTTTTCACCTGTTTGGCTTATTTTCTGCAGTGGTATGTTTTTATTACTCTTAATATTCGATTTGGTTTAAAAAGAATTTAGGCTTGTTTCCATGCATTTTCATGGTTCTCTCATTCTTCTTAAGGTCAAATCTTCAAAGTTAAATTTGGATTTTGTTTTATACCCCTTTTCTTGAGTGCTCTCAAGTCCCAATTTTGTGACTTCCAAGTTCTTTTATCTCCGGTTATTAGGCAAAGTAGCATTGATTACAGGTGGGGCATCTGGAATTGGAGAAAGCATTGTGCGTCTCTTCCATACACATGGTGCTAAAATTTGTATGGTTGATGTGCAAGACAACCTTGGAAAGCAGGTGTGTGAATCCCTCGGGGATGAAGGTAATGTTGTTTTTCTCCATTGTGATGTTTCCATAGAAGATGATGTTTCCCATGCAGTGGACTTAACTGTGGGTAGATTTGACACCCTTGACATCATAGTCAACAATGCTGGAATTTCTGGATCACCTGGTCCTGACATCCGCAATTCAGACTTATCAGAATTTGACAAGGTGTTTAGTATAAATGTTAAAGGAGTGCTCCACGGGATGAAACATGGTGCTCAAATTATGATCCCAGAGAAGAAGGGCTCAATTGTTTCTTTATGCAGTGCAAGTGCCTTAGGTGGCCTTGGACCACATGCATACACAGGTTCTAAATATGCTGTTTTGGGACTTACAAAGAATGTTGCAGCTGAACTAGGGAAACATGGTATAAGAGTGAATTGTGTGTCACCTTATGGTGTTGCAACAGGTTTGGCTGTGGCCCATTTGCCTGAGAATGAGAGAACTGAGGATGCAATGGTTGGTTTTCGTGATTTTACTGGGAGAATGGCCAACTTGTAGGGAGTAGAGTTAACTACTCGTGATGTGGCTAATGTTGTGCTCTTCCTTGCAAGTGATGATGCAAGATATATCAGTGGAGATAATCTCATGGTTGATGGAGGCTTCACAACTTTAAATCACTCACTTCAAGTTTTTAGATGATTGATGCATGGTATTTCATTGTATGTTAAATTACTTGGTTTGAGACATTGCCTTCACAAGGATTTAGTTAACATACAAATAATGTGAAAAAGCTCCTCTAAAAGGAGGTTTGTTTATCCTTAAACTTAGATGGCAGGATCACAGTGTGCTTCAATTCAATTAATGTGAAATTTATGTCCATGCAACCAACAGAGGGACGAAGGGCTCAGATTCTTCTGCTTAGTCAACTCTCTTAGCTTTGGCTAGTGTAAATTTATCGTTGACTTGCCTAGTCTTGTGTGATTTACCTGTTTAAAGTGAAAGTGCTAGTATTTTAGGAAGGATAGGAAAGATGGTTTGATGTTTAGTAGTGTGATTTGTGTTGAAAATAATTTTTTGAAAGAGGTGAGCAAATATGAGAAGATTTGTATGAGGGAAGATAATAATAGATCTTGGAAGTGCTATAAGTACTACAAGAAAAATACCAAATAGTGACTGAAAATTTGATCACTAAATGGCTAAAATCGGTCATTAACTAAAATAGTGACCGAAATAGTGACCAACTGGAATCGGTCACTATTTTCTTGGTAACTATTTTAGTAACCGATTCAGTGATCGATTTAGTAACCGAATCAGTGACCGATTCAGTGATCGATTCAGTAACCGAATTAGTGATCGATTCAGTGGCCAAATTAGTGGCCGAATTAGTGACCGATTTAGTGACTGAATCAGTGACCAATTCAGTGAATGATTCAGTGATCGAATTAGTGGCCAAATAAGTGACTGATTCAGTGACCAATTCAGTGATCGATTTCATGACCGAATCAGTGACTGATTTAGTGACTGAATCAGTGACCGATTCTATGACCGACTTTATGACCGAATATATATGACTAAATCGGTCACTATATCGGTCACTATTTTTTTTTATATTTTTTATAAAATAATGACAAACCTAATTAAGGAATATAAAATACATTATATATATATATATATATATATATATATATATATATATTGTATTAAATATATGAAAATTTCACTACCTAAGATAACCATCAAAATAATACCACAAATTTTGTTCTAAATAAATTCATCATTCATTAATTAAATACTTTCTTACATATTAAAAATTCAATCTAAAAGTAAGTAGAATAAACTAAAATAATAGTCATAATTCTGTAAAATATCAAAAACTAACAAAACAAATACAATATAAAAAATAGAATCAGATCAGAATTTAGGAGGTTGAACATCCATCTTCTCCATCAAGAGGAGCAACATTTTATTATTTTTCTGAGTTTGTCTCTCATTAATTAACATTCTTTCATGGAGATTATCCCTTTCAGTCTCAACTTCCTCTAACTTGTGTTTTAATTGTTCAATCTCCTCTCTCATAAGTTGGACAGATGATGAAGTAGAGTTGTGGCAAAAATTTCTCCCAATTGCTTTGCTTGACTCATATCCAAGCCCATATACTTTGTCTTTGTTTATTTCAACAACTTTACACCAAATCTGTAATTCATCAGGCGGAGAGCCTCCTGCAATAGATCCTGATTGGGAGGCTTCTTCCCATGCACGACTAAACTCTGCCTATAAACATTAAAATAGAATAGTAGTGAATTGAATAAAAACATAAAAAATGATACAATTGTTTAAGAAATTAACATAATAAAAAAAAATAAGAAACTTACATTCACATGTGCTGATATTTGATCCACCCATGTGTTATCCTTTCGTTTGTGTGTTTTGCGAAACAACTCTGATGGGGTAGGGGGTTTCCATTCAACTTTATCTAAAATATGGTTAAAAACACAAACTTAGAAGTGTAATATCCACCATAAAAGAAAAAAAGTTTGTCAAATCATGACAATAGGTACTGTAATAACTATTTTTCTCTTCCATCATAAACAAAACCATGCAATCAAATTTGAACTAACTAATGTACATTCTTTCCACACCTAAATATAGTCCAGGGTTCCATAATTCACATATACATTATAGGTTCAAAAGTACAACATATAGGACCAATACATGCATAAAGGAGTATAAAACAAACTTTACCAAATGTTCTCTATGTTGAGAAGTGTTAGTGGAACCACCAGTATGGAGTGAAATTCCAAGTCCATCACAATCATAAGCTTGATTTACTTTTGCAATCAAACTTTTTACTTTGAATTGTTTTGATCCCCAATGTTGGCATAAGATATCCCATACATCTTCTTCAAGTCAATTTGGTTTCTTCATTATCTATGCATTTAGAAAATTAATTAATATATCACATCAAACAATCAAATCTTGAGACAGGAACAAGAATCAAATTATTTAACTTGACATAGCTACTATAAAAATAAATGTTTGAGAAAAATTAAATCAGAATTATTCAAAATTTCTCTATGATTTTGACAATCTTGTATGATGTGAAATTTTAACGTTTAGTTTCTATACTTTTGTATTTTTGTTGAGTTTCATTTGTATGTAATGTAATCTCTTCATGCTCAGAAAACCGGTATATTTATGAGGGTTTTTTTTTTCTTTTTTTAATTCAAAGTTTAGTGATGAATAATGCAAATCAGGAAGTGCATGCTACATCACTAGCTCGACTACAAACAGAAATTAAAAAACCTTGAGATTTCTTGTGTACCAACTCCTCTTGCAACAAGGTGTATAATAAAGTTATTGAAATGTTTTAGTAACAAAGGAATATATAAATGAGTCAATATTGAACAATCTTAACTATATCTATCTATCTATATATATATATATATATTTATTTAAAATTTGATGGAAGGGACAGTTTCCTGATAACTAATTGGCATTGTGCAATGCCAACCACACTTTCTTCTAAATTAGTAATATGAGATATCAAGGGGTAAGAGAGAAGAAAAATAAACAAAAGGATAATACTATAACACTAGTTACCTCGTGGGCGGAACAATCCCTAGAAGCATTGCTTATTTCTATAGGGTTCAACAATAGATTGTTCTAACTTTTCAAATAACTTGGTCTTCAAATTGTTAACCTGCCAATAAATTGAAAACCTAGCATCATATAACATTTATTAATAACACCCATGAAAAATATGATGCTATTTCTCTTTAAAAGGTAAGGAAACATGGGAGATGCTCAATGCTCTCCATAAAATGCCAAAATAAATAATTATGGGGAAAATTCTTTAATACTAAAATTTAGAAAACAATTACTAGCTAAGCTGTTAAATCCCATTATCATAACTAAAATGAAAAATGCAATTCTTCTATTTATAAAAAAAGGTACAAACCGAAAAATCCAACTGCTTAAGAAGCACTACTGCATCAACTCTCACTTATATTGATTCATAATACAATTACTAGCTAAGCTGTTAAATCCCATTATCATAACTAAAATGAAAAATGCAATTCTTCTATTTATAAAAAATGTACAAACCAGAAAATCCAACTGCTTAAGAAGCATTGCTGCATTAGCTCTCACTTGTATTGATTCAAAATCTGAAAATAGCTTCCCCTGGTTAGATAGAAAAATGTCAAATCATGATAACAAGCTTCTATTTAAAACAATTGAGTGTCACTATTCAGTAAAATATTATAGATGTACGATAATACTAACCAATTGAGCATTTTAAGTTTTACCGTGTTTAGAAGACCATATTAGAATGGTGGATAAGGTAAGCTAATCTTATCCAATTTTACTATGAAATCAGTCAGTAAAAGAGATAGCATCAAAGCTCTCCAAAAATGGTTGATTTTACAACTTCACAACTAAATAAGCTTATATATTCTACATTACAACTAAATAAGCTTATATATGCCATCAGAAACAAAGAATAACACAATGCAAAACCTTGACCATAATTTGCAAAAGCAAAACGTCCAACGAAACCAAAATTCAACACTCTAAAGAAAGTGGTAACATTTAACTTACATATCAAACACGAGAGTCTCTCAATCGAGATCTTCCTGACTGGTCTTCAGCTCAAAATTTTGATTTCCCCTGTTTCCAGAATTTGACTGCCCATCATTATCCCCCCCACCATCAACACATAGAAAAAACATACCATGTAAAACTACATTTAATAAGGAAATTCAAATGGTTTGAATAAGCATTACCGTGTATATAAAGGTCCTGCTCGTCATGTCCTATGCTCAGGTTAGAGGGGATTTGAGGTCATCGGGTTAGGGTTCTAATACGATGTTTCCTGGGTTTTGTTTGGACGTCCCTGGGGTCTGTGTTAGGGTTTGAGGTTCGTTGGGTTTGCGTAGGATTTCACAACACGACGATTTGGGTTTGGCTTGAGATTGGGTTTCGATGTCACCGAAGTTGGGTTTCGGCCTCCAATTCATCGATGTTAAGGCTGAGGTTGAGGTTTGAAGTCGCGTGGGTTTCGATTGGGTGTTTTGGTCACTGAGGTTTGAGATTCAAGGGTTGGATTTTAACTCATCGAGCTTGAGGTCAGTTGAATAGAAGGGTAGAGGATTGGGGTTGGAGAGATGAATGGTGATTAAACTCAGACAAGAATGGTGAGCGCGAGGACAAGAATGGTGAGCGCGAAGAAGATTGTTGCACAAATTGGTGAACAGGAAGAAGATGAATTTGGGAGGTTAGTATGGTTACACAGATTGTGAGCGCGAAGAAGATGAATTTGGGACGAAATTTTGAGGCTTGTCAGCGGGAAGAAAATGAAATGTGGGAGGGTAACAAAATAATTAGATATTAATTACATGAATAAAAAAATAAAATTAAATAAAAAGTGACTGAAATAGTAACTAATTTTCTGTGACCAAAAATTCAGTTACTAAATTAAAAAATAATAATTTGGTTACTGACTCGGTCACTGATAGTAACTAAATTTTTCGGTCACTGATTTCAGTTACTATTTGACA